TTTTGGGAAAATTTCCTGTGTATTTGCTGGTAAATTTCTGAGATACTTTTATAAAGATTAATGTTGATTATATACCTAGTTCAACAAAAAATGAAAATTATGCCAATTAATCTCCCTCTTGTCATTCCATCCCATAAAAAAGTGTGCATCTTCAAGACATGAATGACGATATTGACACCCAAGAAACCATAAAATAAACCCGGATGAATGGAGCCATGTAATCTACTTTTGGGCCAAACTATTCAGTGAATGGTAAGGAGCAGTTTCAGTAATATTTCCACTTGAACTTGGTTAGGCATAGTCTGATCACAAACCATTCTTGATCTGGAATTATTAGCCGAACACGCTGAACTGTGCTGTAGAATGCCTGGAGTGACGTCGCTGCTCAGGATTCTCATTTGTCTTTTGCTCAGCCAATAGTTTCTCTATAGCTGGCCAAGCCTGCTATTTGAGCGAAGTAAACCAAGTTAATAGTAAAATTTAAATAAATATTTTATTTTTCATAACGTGTGCTATTTACATCTAGGACCGTATTCTAACTCTTGTATTACTAAGGTAACGACTGACACATTTATGTTGCATTCCAAAGAGCTCTGTTAACAGCCCAACAGTGAAAAAGTAAACCATATCCGTATCGGCTTGGGCCGGATCAGCACAAAATGGAATGGTTAAGCAACAAGAATGGTTTGGCCTGATGGTGGAAAAGCGGCTCTGATTGCTATATGATCAACTGTCTAATGTCTTGGGTAAATAGACAGAAATTTATATCGGATTTCACTGAAAATGTCTTTATTTGTGTTCCAAAATGTCATGTTTGAGTAAATTATCACATAAATTTCAAGTTTGGGTGAGCTAACCCAATGGCATGGCAGTGTAGGCAGGACAGATAACACTGACAACTTATCATCCATATTTCCCTACTAATATTGTTTTTATTTGGTTTTATACAGGTGTCTGATGTTGATGCAGTCTGGGCACTAGTATCTGTTGGGTTGCTGACTATCATTGAAGATGAAGTACTTCTCCAAATCTTCTCTGCCTTGACCCTGTGTCTTTTGCCATCGTCTCCAGGGTCTACCTCAGCCATTTGCTTCCGGACTGCCATGTGCTATGTTTGGATCACTGGTACAGTACATTTGGATTACCCTAATACTGTGAAGAACACTTACAGTGTGATGCTTGACTTGGGACGGGAAAAACATTGGAAACATGTGCGGCCAACCCAGTGCCATACTTATTCATTGTACTGCTACCTCCACTGTTTACAAGAAGCATACCCTAAATCAGATTGTTTTTGCTTTTTGAAAATGTTTGTAATATAAGTTAAAACTGCACTGAGAAAAAAAACTAAAAACATTAGCTTTAACTTTCAACTATCTTAAATGTATGTGTAATTGTATGTGTGTGTGATGAATGGAACATTGTTGTCAGTAATTTGTAATGGATGTTTGAAGCACTTAAGTCAGTGGAGTAACGCTTACTTGGTTTTTTAAGGCAATCGGTTTGCATGCTTTTAGCCAGTAAATCAGATTGCTGTTTAAGTAAATACAACTTAGAAATTCCAAGTTGCAGGAAATGTTACACGAGTTGGCTCAGCTTAAATAAAAGAGTTGTTTGAAATACACACATAGTATATTGTACTTATTATATTTAGTTGAAAATAGTGATTCTGAGTTACCAGAACTTGCGTGTAAGTTTACAACACTAAATAAACCTTTGTTATTACAAATTATTATTCTTATTTCACTTTACTTGGCTTTTTCAAGGCAATCGGTTTGCATGCTTTTTTTAAGTAAGGTTTACTAATTGGAATTTACAGTGTTGGTGCCTTTCATGCTTAGTCTATTTTTAAAGAACAAAACAAATGTTTTCATTTATTTACTGTAAAAATGAATTCAATTCTGAAAAAAAAAAAAAATCAAATGGCTGGTGGAATTTATTTCATTTTATATGCTGATGTCTGATTATAAAGTAAATGAATATACTTTGTAATAATAATTGTTATTAAAAAAAGCAAAGATTGAACTGAATTAAAAAATGAGTCAAGAGTCAACTATAAAGTTAACAGTCATACATGTTTAAGGTAAACACTGAATCTCCAAGACTCAATTTAATAACAAATTACTGAAAAAATAGAAGGAATCGAAGATTCTATTCTGAAAAATCAAGGTATCAAGACACCACCAGGGATGGTAGAATTCACGTCATGTTATATGTAGCAGTGATTAAATCACTGCATGTTTATACAGTAATTACACCTATTTGCAATATTAATTGTAGAAAAAAATGCAAAAATTTAACTGTATAAAACAATCAAATGTATATTTGATTCATTCTGTATCCTAACTGTAAAAAATCGAATCATATTTATCAACACACCGCTAGAGCTGGTTTATTTCATGTTAAATGTAGCAGTGATGCAATAACTGTACATTAAACAGGCTCATTACACGAATTAGTAAAAAAAAGTAAACATTAAAAAATGTAACTGAATTAAAAAAAATCGAATCAAATGTTTTTTTTTATTCATACATACAGTCAGGGCTGGTGGAAATTGTGAATGAGTCTAAAGTCTAGCTGTGATGAAATCAATGTACGAGTTTTCGTTTACTGTAAACACTGAGTCTTAAAAGAGTCGAATATTAACAAACAATCAAATCCTTTTGTATCTAGAGCAGCAAAGAAGGCTGGTTATTTTGGCGCCTTTTATGTCCCTTTCAAATATATCTATAATCTGATTATAACTGCATTTATTGTATTTATGAACTGCGAAAGTCGAATCAAAGAATCGATGTCAAAGAATCCAATCGATCCAGTGACTCGAATCTTTATCTATCGATGGCTGGTAGCTTTTAGTGTACGGAATTTCATGGTTAAGAAACAACTGGACAGTTATACAGTTAATAATTCTACACATTAACTGTAACCTATACATATATATAAAAAATCTAACAAATTCATTCAGATTAACAGAATCAAATCTATCGATGCACGACCAGCCAGCGCTGAAAATGTTCTCCATGATTTCAGCATTTTTCGCTACATTCAAGCGGTTCTGGCATTGCGAGATGATATCAAGCATAAGTAAAATATGAAATGCATGTTGTTGGTAGAAAACTGGCGCAAACAGGTGCTCTCCAGCTCACAAATCCTCTGAGAGGAAGAGGCCACAGGCTTTATCTAGTTGGATTAGTTGAGCTCGCGCTGATGGGTTTGTGGCGGGGAAATGTCCTGATATGAGACTGGCGGTCAGACATATGCACGCACAGGCAAAATGCAGCACTCATATTTCATGTGTCTCCATCTGCATCTCTACAACTGCCTAAAGATCTTATCTTGTAACTGTCAGTGCAGGAAACGCGATAGTTCTCATGCATAGGACTAGGCCAGGGTTCCTCAAATCTTGCCCTGGAAGGCCAATGTGCTGCAGAGTTTAGCTCCAACCCTGATCAAACTCACCTACCTGTGATTTTCTAATGATCCTGAAGACACCGATTAGCTTGCTCAGGTGTGTTTGATTAGGGTCAGAGCTAAACTCTGCAGGAAAGTGGATCTCGTGGGCCAGATTTGAGGATCCCTGGACTAGGCATTGGTTAACTGCGACTGCAGCGAAATCAAAGTGCATACGCGTGTAATATCTGCTGGGTTAACTTTTATTTCCTAAATTACACCGAAAACACGAGATAAGAGATGACTGATGCCTTTCGGAGATTAAATAAATCGTTTGTCTGTCTAAACAGCATCTTGAAGTCTGCACTGCCATCTAAAGGCAAGAAAAGGATTGGCTTTAAAACAATTGAACCTTAAAACCAATGTACTAAAAATAAACTGTATTTCTTTCCCATTGAGAAATCGAGCTGGTTCCTTACACAAATGGGAAGAAAATATTACACCACCAAACCGTCGCTTAGTACATTGGTTTTGATAAGAACCAAGAATGAAATGAGTAATATCCAGGAGATATGAAGGGAGTTTTGTGACAAAGATCCCTACAGATTAGATACTTGAAAACTAGGTAACACATTACAGCAAGGTTTCACTTGTTGTTAAAAGCATTAGTTAATATAAACAATGAACAATACTTTAGCAAAATGTATTAATTTCTCAATTTATAAATACATTTTTAAAATCAAAAGATGTCTGTTAACATTAGAACTAACATTAACAAACATGTTTAAATGCTGTAAAAAAATATTGCTCAGTGTTAGTTCATGCATTATTAAATGAAACGGTTTTAAAGTGCTGCCCAAAAATAAAGTTATTTAACAACTTATTATATAAAGATGAATTCATACTTAACACTGTAACCTGTTCAAATTGCATTTACACACACTTAACATTTAAACGTTTGGGGTTGGTAAGATTTTTTTTTATGCTTTTGAAAGAAGTCTTTCAAGATGCTCACCAAGGCTGTATTTATTTGATACAAAAATACTACAACTATTACTACAATTTAAAGTAACTTTTTATTTTGAATATATTTGAAAACGTAATTGATTCCTGTGATCAAAGCTGAATTTCCAGCATCATTACTCCAGTCTTCAGTGTCACATGATCTTTCAGAAATCATTCTAATATGCTGATTTGCTGCTCAAGAAACGTTATTATTATTGATGTTGAAAACAGGATCATATGATGAATAGAACGTTTTTTTTTGTAATCTTATAAATGTCTTTACTGTCACTTTTGATCAATTTAATGCATCCTTGCACTACTTTCTTAAAAAAAAAAAAACTAGTAGTCTAGAGTCATACTCTAGTAGTCTAGCGTATGTTACTTGAAGGGTTACGTCTTGGTTAACCAGCGCAGAGCGTTAACCACTACACCACCTGGAAACCGAAAACACACAAAAACACAATTTAAAAGGTAAAACAAGTTAATGGCTTAAAAAGACGAATGTTTATTTCACTGTAGAATAGAGAGAAAAAACTATTCATCCACTTTTGATTTGATGCAAAACTTCAATATGAAACGACTCCCTGATCCAACATGGCAACCTCTGTATGTTATGCTGCATTCAGGCCACGCCATAATTACATATTTTCCACTTATAAGATCTTTTTCAAACTCTTAATTGTAAATGACAAACTCTTAATTTTATGAAAGCTCTGATTTCTCTCATCAATGTGCATGATTAAACCAAAATGGTAGCAATTTGAACAGTTTTTAATGTTTTAAAAACTAGGTTTTAATGTCAACACCATATTCACTGGTGTTACCTTGTGCACTTTTGTTGTCATTTCCAACAAACTTTCCCCATGGATACATTTTGGATGAGCACTGGCATTGAAAACTGAAACATTTCTGAGTTTTATAATTCTTATACTTACAGTAATTCCAACACAACATGAACAAAGCATTAGTTGGATAAAGAAACAGGAAATCAACCAAACAAAGTTCATTTGAACTTGATGATAGATCTCAGTCAAGGTAGTGCCATATTTCATTTTAAAAAGGAAAGAAAACAGCGCTGCGAAGAATAGAAATACAGCAGGTCCAATGGATTGTTTAACAACATACTGACTGTCCAGCTGACAAAATGTCTTACTGAAGAAAATTTTCAGTAGAAAAAAACTCAATAAAACAGCTGTAAAGTTGTGAAAATTACTGTAAAATAATTACCGTGAATTTAACGGTAAAAGACTGTAAAAATGCATAAACTCTTAATTTTATGAAAGCTCTGATTTCTCTCATCAATGTGCATGATTAAACCAAAATGGTAGCAATTTGAACAGTTTTTAATGTTTTAAAAACTAGGTTTTAATGTCAACACCATATTCACTGGTGTTACCTTGTGCGCTTTTGTTGTCATTTCCAACAAACTTTCCCCATGGATACATTTTGGATGAGCACTGGCATTGAAAACTGAAACATTTCTGAGTTTTATAATTCTTATACTTACAGTAATTCCAACACAACATGAACAAAGCATTAGTTGGATAAAGAAACAGGAAATCAACCAAACAAAGTTCATTTGAACTTGATGATAGATCTCAGTCAAGGTAGTGCCATATTTCATTTTAAAAAGGAAAGAAAACAGCGCTGCGAAGAATAG